TAATTTTTCAATTTTAATTTTAACTTATTTAATTACATTTCGAATTAGTTTTAATTTTAATTTCAATTTAACTTTAATCAATTTTTTAACTCTAAATTAATTTTATTTATTAAAATTTATAATCTAAATTTTTATTTTATTTATATTAGTATTTAAATTCTAATTTATTTTAAATAATTAATTTTAATTATATAAACTTTGTTTTTTTTTAATTTGATTTATTTTAAGTTTATTACACTTTACTTTTAACTCAATTTATTAATTTAAACTTCATAAAACCAAAAATAAAAATTTAATATATTTTTAATTTTAATTTTCCATAAACTTTTAAAATTTTTGTTTAGTTCAATTTAATTAATTTTTCACTTGAAATTCAATTAAGTTTTAATTTAATTTATATTTAATTTCGTTTTTAATTAATTTAACGTTATTTTTAATTAAATTTTTATTAACTTAACGTTAATTTTATAATTTATCATTTAATTTTAATTTTAGTTTAAATGTAATTTTACTTTAATTCAATATTACGTAAATTAGTTTAAAATTTTCTAATTTTAATTCTAGTTTAATTTATTTTATTTATTTAAATTTTAATATCAAAATTAGTTAAGTGAGTTCTTAACTTTATGTTACTTTTACTTTTGTATTAATTTAATCTTATATTTTTAAATTTAGTTTTGATTTTATTTTAATTTTGATTTTAATATAATTAACTATATTATTAATTTTTTTATCATTTTTTTTATTTATTATTTTTTTTATTATTGTAAATTCTTCTTTCAAATTTAATTTTTAATTCTTCCATCATTTTAAACATATAAAGAAAGCTCTTAATTGCCGCAGTATCTTTCCATTTCATGTTTACTTTGCTTAAACTAATTTTCTTTCGAAAATTGCCTTCATTTTCCGCATTCTCAAATTAGAGCCGACACTTTCAACGTAAGTTGCCAATAGCAATCACCAGCGCAGACGCGCCGAAACACATGTCCTTGCCACACTCGACCGTGTCAGGTTGAGGCATGAAAAGTGAAATTTCGCAAAAGTATGCCACTTTGGCAACAGAAGCTACAAGTGACAACAACAAATATGCACTAAGAAACAAGACATGCTTTCATTCCTACGCCAAAGCCACAAATACAAAAACATACACATGTCGCTGTCGTGAGCCTGACCCATGCAGGCATTGCATTTGCATAAGTCTGGCCGAAAGCGATGGTAAGCCGGCGATTGCACACCAAGCATGCACGAATTTTGAAAAAAACAACAATTACCAATACTAACAGCAATTGCCAAAAAGTGCAACATTCAAAGATCGAATTTGAAGAAGAAAGTTTACCGTCGCGCCGGACGCCAACTCATGGCCGTTTCGCAGTGGGTGAGCGACACAGCGAGGTCCAATGTGTTCGCATTGTTGCCTCGTTTGGTGAGTGACTTGCGATTGCGCATTGCAGGCGCTGTGGCCGCCACTAAGGCTGCTGGTTGGCGGTTGGCGTCTAATGGGCTGCCTGCCTGTATTGCATTGAAAGTGAATCTCGCCTGATAGCGGCGCAGAGCGACAGCGTCGCTTACACACTGTGAAATTACAAACTTCAATGAATTAGGCAAGAATTTCGCAGGCAGCACATGTGGCAGCAGTGTATGGTGGCATAGGTGTGTGCGGATACACTTGCCTGTGGCAATCAGTGCGATCTCACAGTCGAGTATTTATTATGTGCATGCATTTGGTAACGAAAGACTTGAGCAACGAACTTTCCTACTTTCTTTCTGTTGCGCCGCGGCGCACGAAAATCGCTAGCAATTTTATTGCAAATTCATTTTCATTCAACTCATTATTTTTTTTTTTTTAGTCTTGTGTTGTTTTTGTGCTCGTTTTGGTTGGCTTAAATTATTTTAACTGCTTCTAAACGAATTAACGAAACAACATATCATGCCACAGCATAGCACAACATCCGCAGACAAACAGTCAGTCAAACAGTCAAACGTGCCACACGACACAAAACAATGCCAATCAACAGCGCCGATGGCAGTGACATGCGGCAGCTAATCAAGTGAAAAACTACGTTAGACATGCCACAAAAACCCAAAAACAAATACAATAAAAACAACAAAATAACAGAAACACCACTAACTTGGTAGAAGAAAGCGCTGGTTAATACTCAACATCAGCAACAACATCTTCAGCCACAACAACAAAAAGACGACACAGCTTTTGCATATATCAATCGTTGCCCGCATCATCGACCGTCGGATATGCCTACTAGAGGCCGCTGTGTCATGTGGCAAGCTGCAAGTGCCAAGTGGCGGCAGCGGGTAATCGCAAGTAGCGCGCCTGCAACTTTTTCCAACACTACCTGTTGCGGCTGCTGCTGGCATTGTGTATGCAACAAATGTTGCAAGTGCAATCGTGCCGCAAATGTGTGCAGGCGGCAAAATGTGTCGCACAGCCTGTTGTGGCACCGAGTGTTTGTAGATTTATTTATTATTTATTTACATACACTTAGTTTGCTTGCGCTGCTTGTCTGTTGCACGTACATACATAAGTATATATCAATTATTTTTTCATCAAGCTAAAGTAAATAAGTGGCAACTGCTGGATTTATTTGATTTTATAAGCTAAGTGCCGCCGTGTGTCGCTGCTAGCAAGCTGGTGTTGCAATAAAGTTTAAAATTATTGCCACGAACTCGGCTGACCTCAATGGCAGGCAGTGCAAGTGTTGTTGCCACAGAGCACAACAACCCGTCGTGGCTCTCTAATCGATCGAATGAAACAGCGAAAAATCACTCGCAAGCACATATTTGATTTGCCCACATGTTGCACGAATATTTTTTTTGTTCTGCTGTGATTGTTGTCAGTTAGCTAGTTAAAAGTTACTGTGTGTATGTATTCATTGCCAGGCGCAATGCTAATGTGCCAGTTTAAAAGCAATATTAATGGCTTTTCAGGCAATTACCATGTTGTTGTTTTTTTTTGTTGTGCTATAGTGCCACTTTGCTGATTTTGTTGGTTTTAGTACACCGTAAACGGTGCAAGAAGTCGTTGAAGGCTTTTGGTTATTGCTTTCTAGTGTTGTTTTTATGTTTAGATATGTGGTCGTTGTTGTTGTTGTTGTTATAGTTGTTACTTTTATAGCCATTGTTGTTATCATTGTTGTTGTGGCATTTAATGCCTTTAGCATTTACTTGCACTTGCTGCTTTGATTAGCATTGCACCAACTGACCATGCAACAGACGCCCCCACGCTGTTGTTGCATGTTGCAAGCACACACCCAACTACACATATATATGCTGGTATGTGTAAGTATGCTTACATTTTCCAACTGTTCATTTCTCCTGCCACCTTAATGAATTCAGATCTCAAACAACTGCTGCTGGAATGCTTAACAACATTTCCGAATTTCTTTGCTTTACACAAGCTTTACAAACACATATGTACAAGTATTTGTATATCAACTCTAGGCTAACATAAGTTTGTTCATTTGGACTGTCGCGTCAAGTATTGCAATGCTCCAGTTGCACCATATTACCAATGTTGTGCTTACCATATGCCACTTCGTTGTTATTGTGGATGCTGTTCGCTTATCTGCTGTTGGGTTAGTGACTACTTGCCAACTTGACAGCGGTCTGTGTAAATATTTGTTGTTCGGAGTTGTTAAAATTTGAGTAATCAACACAAGTCGTAGTAAAAGTTGCATGCCACATACAAGGTTGCCACTGTTGCACTTTTCTTTGCATACTGGAATCATTCAGTTGAAGGAATCCAAGAACGACAGCTGCCTTGTGGTTGGGGAAAAGTAACATGAACTAGAGAAATGCAACACATGCAAGCTTGGAGATACACATATACATATGTATACTAGTATGGATAGGTTATTAAAAATGATACTAAAATTTCGGGAAATTTCCGTTTCTTAATTATCTGAATGTCTTTTAACGTTTGCAATATGCAAAGTCTTAAGACATCTACTTTCTTTCCTTTCCAGTAGTGTTAAGATAAAAGACTGGAGGTTCTATAAATGTTGCATACTTTTCTGCGCGAAGATAAAAGTTTTCATAAAAGGGGACTACAAAATAATAAAGTAGTAAGTAGAATGGCGAATTACTACAGAGTTAGCGAATTATTAGAAAATTCTATAAACCAAAAAAAATATTTCACATTTTTCATTCACAAAAAGTTGTCTACATTGTAGCGGGTTTGAAATGATTAGCCTTTTAAATATAAAAATTTTTCATTTTAGGAAATTAACTTTTAGAAACTTTCGTAATTAGTTGCCTACCTTTTGGCGCTAGCTCAAAAATAGCATTTAATTTAATTATTTTTCGAGAAAAAGGTCAATGAAGTATGGTAAGAAAAAGAAGTATTTATTGCTTAAACTTAGTTTCTCGTTTCGAAAAAGTTGTGAAGTTCAAATATTATTGAAAAGTAATATGTACTATTTAACGCGGGCCCAAAATACTAAGATATTTTGACAAATATGACAATGAGACTAGTAAAAGGTGTAATACTCATTGTTTGGAGTTTGGTCTCTGGTTTAAAAGTATAATTTTTGTTTTTTTTCTTTTGGAAGAAAAATAAGAAAAGAAACGTTAATAAATGGAAGTATTTATTGTTTGATATTAAATTTCTGTTTCGAAAGACAGAGAAACTAATAAGAAAGCTGAAAATTTTTTCTGTCTTTTAGCTGATGTATAAAAAATTTAACTTTTTGCTACAAAAAAGTCGATGAAAATAAAGAACTATTATTATTCAAAGTTGCCTTTATTTCAATATACTGAGAAACTTAAAAAAATTTTTAAAAATGTTGCATAAATAATGGCGCGGCGCAATTTATTAATAAATTTGGAAAATGGCGATGAAATTGGTTAAAGCTAGTAATGTTATTGTTTGAAGTTCCTTTTCTACACAATGAAATATTTTATCACATTCTGTTACCCGAAACTGGGATTTTATATTATAAATATTTCTAGTTTTAGAAAAGAATTTTTAAAAAAATTTTACTTACATTTTTAAATGCTCTGAAGTCATGTATTTCTGGAAATAGCAAGTAAAATAGGATTTAGTATTGCATGTTAAGGAAATAGTAAATATAAATATATTTTTACCAAAAATTAAATTTAAATAAATTAAGTGTGTTAATTAACTTCAATAAAATAAGATTTATTTTTTCTAAATTTATTAAAAATTTTTGAAATTTTTTTTTTTTAAATGCAACCCCCTCTACAACCTTTCTCTCTATGTTCTAAAATAAAGGGAAAACACTCAATTTTTATACTTTGTAGCGCCACCCAACTTATGTCAATAACGTCATTGCCTTTAGCTGGCAAAATTCATCATTCCGGTTGACAGATATTTCCCGTTGCGGCGCGGTTTAATTTACTTTGATTTCTCACTCCGCTGCATACACATCGGAAGTGACAGTAAGCGCACGCCATGCTAAGCCACAAAGCAACGTACAACCACAAGCCAGCGTTGTGGCGTGCAACAATTTGCAATATGCAATTTACAACATGCAATACAATACCCGATGAGCTATGATTAATTGGATTTTGTTATGAACGACAGCTGGCAAGAGTATTAAGCTCGCTTCAGTGCTTTACTTATAGTGTAGCTCTTAGTATGTAAATATGTCAGATGGAAATGAATATCAGCAAATTGAAGTTATGACCTTTTGAATTTAGAAGATGCTTGGGTTTTTATTTTTATTTTTTTTTTTTTTTAATTTTTTTAATATTATTTTTTATTAAAATTTCTCAACTTCGTTTTCTGCCGATGCCTTAACTATCCAAAAAAATTATAAATGATCAAAAATCTATTCGAAATTCGTTTGAGTTTTGCAGCGCTGCCAACAATTGCTTGCCCCTTTGCTCAGCTATGTTTTCTCCGCGCTACTACCTAGCGCTGGCAACTGTATGATCCATAACTGTTTAGTACCTGCACCACATGTGGTCAATGGTAAATGAAAGCGAAACAAACAACACACAAAACACACTGATAAGTGATACACTAACACACAGACAAAAGCAGCGTGCAACAACTTTTCCTGTGCCATCGTCGCGTCAGTGTTCAGCAGTGTGTGCAGCATGTTCAGAATGCGATGTCGTGGAAATGGAAAATGCGGCGTACCAGCGCTGAATGAACTTTTTCTGACACACACACGCACACGACAGACGCTTACACATTTGATTCGAGTATGGCTTACAGCAAAAGCACAAAAAGCAACAAATAAAAGTAAAAACGCTTTATGCCACATATATTATTATTATATTACTTTCTTGTTGTTGCTGTTGTCATCATTGTTCATTGCTGTTGTTGTGTATAAAATATGTTGACCGTCAATGCGCGCGCATCAACGAGCAGATAAGCATTTATGTACATGTAACAACAACTTCGTGTGGAATAACATGAAACACACACATTCGTTGTGACCCATAAATGATGGGAAAAAAGTTACGAGCTTGTTGTTTGTGCGCCTGGTCGTTTGTTGGTTATTTATTTTGTTGTTGCGCCGCTTTTTGCTGCTCGCCGTAATGGTAGAACTTTTTTCTTGAATTATTTTTGTACTTTTTTTGCGTTTATTATTTGTTTTTTTTTTTTTTTGTTGTTCTGTTTGTATTGCCCACTTTATGCGCTCAGCTGCAGTACGCCTTTGTGCACCGACATTTTCTTTTCATTGTCAAATTGTCAGTTTGAAAAATTGCCAAATGGCAATTGGCATTCAAGCATTTTGTGTTTTTTATAAATAGCCAAATAACGGTGATTTATGCCATTGCAACGCGTAGCGTGGTTGTTGCACTGCGAACTGGTTTTATTTAGAAGCTGGAGAGAAAATGTTGTCGCTCGCTTGGGTGGCGAGCCAAATGGACCAAAACAAAAAATAATAAAGAATTAAAACAATATATAAAAAAAAATATTTTTGGTGCAAAAATGTTATAAAAATAATTCTGAAGTGCGAGCAAAAAGAATATATTGGAGAAAATTACACTCGAATTCTCGAAGATAACGGCCTTATATTTTAAATTAAAATGTAAATTATGTAAATAGTTATTTACTTTTAAAATAAAGAAATGAGGTGGCTCTGCTTAGCGGTATCGTCAAAATGCATTTAAAAAATTAAATTTATAGTCTTCTCTTAACTCCTATAAAGTTTGTAATTAAAATAAATAAAGGTTGCCACCTGTTTAAAATTTCAAACAAAAACAAAACACTTAGATGCAAAATTAGGAATGTTAAAATTTAACAAATTGTTTAGGAGTGTTGCACAGCGTTTGAAATTAATTTTGAGAATTGATAAAATAAATATAGTACAGATTTTGAAACTTTATAGAAATTAGAGCAGTAAGCATTTTTCAAAAGAGTTGCCAACTGTTTAAATTTCCGTTCAATTAAACAGAAATTTAAAGTAAATATTACACTAAAAGGCATCAAAAAGAGTTTAAGGAAAAATTTCTAGCGCAAATATTTCTAAGCAGTGTTGCCAGCTATTTTAACTTTGGAAAAATTAATAAATTGTAATAAGATTATAATTAAAGATCTAGTTCATAAAACCGTCGATTTCTTAGTTTAAGCTGCCAAGTAGCATTGCTGTAACTACATATGTACCATATATATTTTTTTGAATAGCGAAGGTATCAAAATCAAAATAACGATTTGCGCATACTGTTACTGTCGAAATTATTTATTTCAACACTGATCAGATTACTTTACTATAGGAAAGCTAATGTGAAGATCTTATACATAGCATATATAGGCGAGGCTTGCGCAGCTTAGTTCGTCAAACTTTGTGCCTAATTAATATGAAATATGTTTTATAATATAAACCCGTTTAAATACAATTTCTTGCACTATCTTAGGCGCCGCTTTAGGTATTCCATATATTGAGGATTTCGTAAGCGAAATCACAATTGCATAAAGTTTATTACACTTACTCGCTATGTAAGTCTTTAAACCGAGGTAATGACATTATCTCTCAGACAGACATGCAATAATAATTTTTACTCAGTAATTATAAACCTTCAAAAATTTATGTCAAGCAATTATATACAATCAATAAAAATTATATATATTAATATAATATCAGTAAGGATTGCACAATCAGTCCACGTCAAATGCTGTCAAAGGCCAAAAATCACTTTCTTCAAAACAATTACGCGAAAGTGTTTCAATAATTTCACTTTCCTTGCATGTACACACATACTGCGTACATATAACTGCATAATTGAATTAAAGTACTACACATAAGCATTTAAGTGTGTGTGTGAGTGTGCATAAGCTAAGCTACAAAATATCATAATGAAAAAAAATGCCAAGTATACACGTTTTCACTGACATTACACGCCAATTAGTTTATGCACTCGCCTATGCCATTGCAGGTGTGTGTTTGTATATTTGTGTGTGAGTGTTGAAACGTCACACACTTAGCGCTCGTAAAAAGCAGGCAAGCCACAGTGAATGTCAAATTGTTAGGTAGAGAGTGAAATAGAAAATCAAAGAAAGAAATATGTATGTTTGTTGAGACTGCTAAATTGAGCTTAATGCAGTTTCATGCATATAATATAGTATTTTAGCATATATTGTATATCCGTATGCGTTAATTTGAGAATTACTTTTGCTTTTTATTGCACAAAGAAAGTGTGCATAAAAGGTTGCTTCGGTGTATCGCTCAGTTGTGTAAGTTTATTTGTGTGATATGTACAAGTGACACTAATAAATAATTTGCTTTTAATTAGAAATCATAGTCGCTGAGTGCTAATTATGTGCTGTGATTGGGTTACTATTAGTTATACTTTTTCTTTTCAACACACCCACAATTGTCAATATGTTTAGACAATCATATTAAGAATACATTTATTATTTTTATATGCAGTAATTCAAATTTTAGAATTGCTTTCCATCAGCTTAGGCACTAATTACAATTCTTGATTGTTACAAAAGCAGAAACGCTAATTACTGTCTCTTTTAATGAAAATTTATGTCTTTGAAGCAAGTGTCCGACTTAAGAGTTTAAACGTTAAATTTTGCTATATTTTCTTTTAATTTATTTATAGTGTTTTAATTTTTTATTGTTACTTGTATATTTTTAATTTTAGTTTTAATTTTTTTTATTATTGTTATGACAAAAATCAGAGCAAAACTTTTCTCACTAAACAATATTTATTTCTGTTTTACTTAACTTAACTTTATTTTGATTTAATTTAAAATTAATAATTCATTAATTTTATATAATTTATATTATTATATAATTAAATATTGGTTTGATTTTTTTTAATGTAATTTATTTTATTTAAATTTATTTTAATTTTTAATTAAATGTTAAATTTTTATTTTAATTTAATTTTTATTATAATTTTACATTATTTTAATTTTTTTAAATTTATAATTTTTTGAATTAATTTTATTATTAAATTTTTTAATTATTTAAATAAATTATAATTATAAATTTTAATTTTGAGTTAAGATTTTATGTTAATTTAATTTAAATTTAAATTTAAATTTTCTAATGTTAGAAATTAATTTAATTATTAAGGTTAATCCAAATTTAGTATTATTATATATTATATTTTTTTAATTTGAAATTTAATTTTAATTTTAGTTTGATTTCCTTAATTTTTTAATTTAAATTCTTTCAATATTTTTAATTTAAAATTAATTTTAAAAATAGTTTAAATTTATTTCAAATTAATTTTATTTTATTTGAGTTTAAATATTATTTATTTAATTTTAATATTAATTTATTTTAATTTAAACTTAATTTAATATTTTATTTAAACTTAAAACTTCTTCTAATTTTATTTTTACTGTATTTTTTACTTCATATATAGCTTTCGTATTTAAAATTTAATTTTCATACAGTTTAATTTAAACTTAATTTTAATAATTGTTTTAATATTAAATTTTAATTTATTTTTTTTAGTATTAATTTAGTTTTTAATTTTGTTTATTTTAATTTTAATATTTTTTTATATATTGTAATTTATTACATTTTATTTTATATTAATTTATTGCAATTAAATTTCTTATTTTTTAAATTTTAT